TCAGCTCGGGCTGACTCGAACCGCTGTTGCTCAGAGCTCAAACTCTTGAGTGAGCTCTTAACCAACTGAGCCACTCAGCCGGCCCTTGTTTATGTATTTTTTTTGCCATGCTTGCTTAACTCTTTTTTTTTTTCAGATAGTCAAGTTGTGAAATGTTTTGAAAAGGTCTTTCACTATCTCAGCCAGATGATCAAGGCCAACATCAACAGTGTAAGTCATGCTTATAGTATGTACCCTTAATATGATATGGTGAAAATGGCAATTTACTTCTGTGCTTTTTAAAAAAAAAAAAAAACACCAAAAAACAAAACCTATAACCCCAGACAAGTCAACATTGAGGAACATTCTAGAAAATATCTGACCAATACTCCTCATTACAGTCAAGATAAAAAACAAGGCAAGTCTGAATTATCACAGCCATGAGAGCCTAAGAAGACATGATAAGTAAACGTCATGTGGTATCTTGGGTGAGATCCTGGGACAGACAAAGAATACTAGGTAAAAACTAATGAAATATGAATAAAGTATGGACTTCAATTAATAATAATGTACCAATTTGGTTCAATATTTGTAACAAATATACCATAATAATGTGAGGTGTTAATACAAGATATATTGAAACTCTCTATACTTCCTATTTTTTTCTGTAAATCTGAACCTTTTATAAAAAAATTAATTTATTTTAAAAATCAATACTATTTAGAAAAAACATGAAAGGTCTTTGTGTTTGTTTTCATATGGTAATTCTAATCTGTTGTGCTTGTACTTCGAAGGTTTTCACATAAATTCTCTCAAGTTATGATACCTCATAAACTCATCTTACTCACAGGTTCTGAAGATTTAAAAGAAACAGGAAGAGGAAGGGAGTTATACTGCTCAAAGATCTTACCCTTCTATCAAATACATGACTTAAAAAAAATCAAGTATTTAACCATACAATCATTACTCAGCTCAAAATTATTCACAACTAGGCTCCATTTTAGAAAGCAATGCAATTGCACTTTAACAAATATTAGAAATACATGAAAACGAAAAAAGTATCCAGTTCCACCCACATTAAAACAAAACAAAACAAAACACCTATTTTCTGTTTTTCCCTGTATTCCTTCCCACTTGCTACAGTCACAGTGCTCATGAAATTGGGCATTCTGACTTTTATACTATAATTTTATCATAAACACACTTCCCACGTTACTTCATAGTCCAGATTTTCACTTTCAAAGCCCTCATAATAGCCCATTAAGCAGATATACCACAATTTAGTTGAACAACTCCCTGTTGCTGACATAGCAAAGAACCATTTCTACATTTCTACCATGGATGAATCAAATTCCCCTCCCCTTCCTGTGTTACCCAGCTGAAGGGTGAGATGATGACTGCAGTGTATTTATTCCTTGGGAAAACATCCAGTGTCCGACCTCTTGACCTGTACCTCCTGCTCGGGCCTACCAAGGACGCATTCAGAGTCCTGCTCAGCAGTTTTTAGGCAGCACAGCAGACACTGCAGCTCCTGACATTATGCTGGGCTTTGTCCTCCCCGTTCCAGTTCTCACA